CACACACACACACACACACACACACACACACACACACCTTTTAGTGAGACAGGTGTAGCAGCTCTAACAAACCCATGCTCTGCAACATGCACGCATGACAGCCCAAACACACACACACTCGTGCACACGGTACAGTAGTGTCAGTTAAGGCAAAGCAGCACCTGTGAGCCCATGAAGCTGCAGAGCAAAAAGGGGGGAAGGAGAGGGAGAGGGGCGGGGCGGGGGGGCAGTTAGTTTGCAGTGTTTCTGCACAAAGCATTAGCATTCATAAGGCATTTCTGCTCAGTTTGGAGGCAGCCATGTGTGTGTGTGTGTGTGTGTGTTCCTGCAAGCCTGAGATCAGTCTTTTCTTTCTTCCAACTCCACTGTTGCGCTCTTACAAAGTTGCAACTATAATAATAATTATAATAAAATAATAATAATGCAATGGTGTTTTCCACATGCCTCCATGTATGGATGCTGCTGCTGCAGTCAGATCATCACAGAAAGCACAAAATGGGAGGGTTTTTGTTGCATTATGCTGAGGCGTTAACTGTCTTGTGTGCATGATTTGGCAGCCTTCATGATAAAAACCTGCTCTGTGTGCCACACTGCAGCACAACAYCGACAGAAGAAAAGGCAGAGACATGTCCCCCTTCCTTTTTTTACGCAGGGGCTCCAGAGAGGATGCTGCACCACCAGTCACCATTTTTCCCCCCTTTAAACGAGAACAATGAGGATGCAGTGCATGATTTATTGGGCCATCAATAAGACGTAAACATTGCAGTGGCACACATGCCTTTAAGTCCATTTCATCCTTTCACGTAAACAACCTGAAGCCTGCAGTGTGCGCCTCACAATGCTGCAACCCAGAAATTTACCCACAAATCTCTTTAACAATATGCAGAATTAAAATAATAATAATTAAAAAAACATTATGCTCCTCAGATTGGTTACCTTCCTCATCCTGGCCAGGATCCCGTCGTGATTCCTGCAGCATTGTGAAAGAAAATGTGTCACCTACATTTTTCATTGTTATTCCCAGGTCTGGAGCGTGGAACGGGATTAGCCGCAGAGGAGCCGCGCGTTCGGTTCTCATCCRGTAGAAAAATAAAGAAACAAACACGCAAGAAACGAACGCGACTAAATCGTATAAAACGGGGCGAGAGGTCGTGTTTGTGCGCGTTAAATCCTTGGAACGCAGTCAGGTTGTYGGAGCTCTGCTCCTCTCTCTCTCTCTCTGCCTCTCTGACGGAGGCTGCTCTCTCTCAGAGCTGCTCGGCTCCGTGGACCACTCATTGATTGGATAATGCGCCGTTTGCCCACGTTCGCATTCCCAGAGTGCTGTGAGTGACGAGCCAATCCGGGAGCGCGCAGCCAGAGGAGCGGTGGCGTCTGATTGGCTGCGTCCCATTCGAAGCTGTCCGTGAATTCCCGGCACGCGCACCTGTTTACCATCACTAATTATGCGCTGACCGGAAATGATGGTGAAATGACCAGCCATTTCTGAGCACACCTAATAGGTTTTTTTTTTAAATAAATATTAAAAATGTATAAATCTCAAAATGCTACATC